CTTTAGGCTAGTAGTGTCCCAAAACAGAATTGAGGTACTGGAAGTGGTTTCCAACACTTAAAACCTGCCCTAGATTCCAAGGGAGCCCCGACCCACACTTTGAACGGAGTGGAAGATGGAATTTCGCAGAACACCTTGCTAAGTCAGCAACTTCGGCAAGTTTTGGAAAACAGTTTGTTACTGCACGATCAGAATGTAGGCTACACAAACAACACATGGTTGGACTAGCGTAAACTCATCAGCAACTCGGTTGAACACAGCGTCAACATATTTAAACAAATCGACTTAGCCGAACAAAATCGATCAGAACTAGAAGACGTCGTAGGCGCCTCCTGTTTTCAGCATTTCTTCGCCGTTGATTCATCAGACGGAGAAGAATAAACATAGCACACGCCACAACACAAGCGCTGTAGCCGCCACTTTCAAACCTGAATGACTACCAGTATCTTGTATCGCTGCTAAGCATGATGCATGCCTGCACGTCGGCCACGCCAATTTGCGTGAAGTGGTGTCTCATTTCTTAGGGAAAGAACTCTACCCTGATATTTCTCACTTCCCTCATCAAGGGTTATCTCGCAAACGAGGGCACTCGGTACCAAGTGGAAGATTTAAGGGGCAGAAATGGGATTGGGCCCGAATTATCTGCAGAGTTGTCTTCCTCTCTGAAACAAACAAACTAGGTGATTTAAACTAGTAACAGTCACTGAATAAAGCAGTTTCACATATTTAAAAAAAAAAAGATAAAAAAAAATCAGTGTTTGGTTTGTCCATTCTAGGCTACTGTAGAAACATGGCAGTGCAACATGGAGGACTCTTAAAAAAAGGACCCGCTCTGCTCAGTAGATACAAACAGCCCATTCTAAGGTAACATGATTCTTATTTTAGGTGGTTAAACATGCAAGAAAACATACTTTTATTATATTCTATATCTGAAGTATTATTTTAGATTAACCCTAATGAACTCATGACAGGCTAGGCAGCCATGAAATTTAGACAATGAAAACAGTTTTCACCAGATTCAACTCAGTTCCTTTGGCTCGTACCAAAGAGTCTTTGAAAATAATGGGAACAGTAATGAATGTAACGCCACGAGCTGCAACCTTAAAGTGATGCTAACACGTTTGAATCAATAAGTTATCTGAAATAAATGTGCATAACGAGCACTTTTGGGTACTTTAAAGGTCCAGTTTAGGATTTCGGGACATCTGTTGGCAGAAATGGAGTATAATATTCATAACTATGTTTTCATTAGTTTCTAATCACCTAAAAATAACAATCATTGTGTTTTCGTTACCTTAGAATGAGCTGTTTATATCTGCATACAGAGAGGGTCCTCCTTCACGGAGTCCGCCATGTTCTACAGTAGCCCAGAATGAACAAACTAAACACTGGCTCAAGACGGTGCAATGCCATTGTTCATACGGCCCAAAATTCAAAGCCCCATCACTCCAAAAAAAATGTCCCTCTGGACTGAAAGCCCATTTTTCCGACAGCCTGTTATCCCGAAAACAAACACCCATTGCTCCGAAGTTTTGTTTCAGTTTAACTGCAGCGTTTGAGCCTTCGGTGTTTTTAACTGACCTGTCCCTGCTTTTCCACGACTCTGTGCCATGTAACATTGGTGTTTTAAGCCAAAACGAGATCTTTTCCTAACCACACATTCAACACAATGCTGCTGACAAATGTAACATATCAGTGGTTTACAGAAACAGACAATGAGACAACATTTATTCTGGCAAATGAGTGTTTATATTTGGAATAATGAGACTTTGGAGCAATGGGCTTTTGTTTTGGGGATAACTGGCTGTTAGAGAAATGGGCTTTTCAGCCAAGGAGACAGATTTCGTACAAACTTGGCGTCGAAATTTTGGATCGTCAGAACAACTGGCAGTCCCCTTTTAGAGAGGACGATTCGAGTTTTGATGTCAGCCACCATTGTTCTCCAATAACACTTGGCACACAGGACAAGTTTGAGTTCTGCAACTTCACCACTAGATACCAATAAATTCCACACACTGGACCTTGAAGTATTTTTTATGGTGATACAAAGTTAGTAGTAGAGGAGTACTCCTATAGCATGGTATTATTACTTTTGCTTTCTTTACTTAAATACCAAAACACTTGAGTACTTCTCACGTTAAATGAGCAGTGTGGTGGAAAGTAACTACTCTGAACCAAAAAAAATATACACTTCTGTCTTTTTAGATCCCATTTTTCACAAGACTTTTTATGCACAGAAAAGACAGCAGCACTTCTCCCTCTCCCTCAGGTGTGACATATCAAGATGCTGATTAAACAGCATGATTACTGCACAGGTGTGCCTCAGCCTGCTCACAATATAAGGCTGATAAAATGTGCAGTTTCTCCTTGACAAAGGACGTTTATAAAGCACTCTGAACTGTGGATTTCACGAGGGTACTTTAGCTCAGTAAAAGTGGCATTTTTATAACATCCACATCCACATTTATAACATCAAACCAAACACGAAAGAGTCTGATGTAATCCAACTAGAGACTCTCTGGTCTGATGTAATATAAACTGGTCTCCAGTCAGCACACTGGTCCCACATTCCTCTCTGCCCTGTGTAAACCATTTATCACATTTTGAGAATGCTTTATTCATCTGCAGCCCAGAGCCAAGAGCTGCAGTATTAAATATATTAAATAGTTGGGATATATTTGCCTTGCACTTTGTGTCAGCAGCAGACTGGACGTGTTGAGTTCTTTACCACAGAAGGTGAAAAACTAGCCAGGGAACAGAAAATCCCCGGACAAGTCCCAGTTGGATCATTACCAGAAAACTGCAGATTGTTATCCTTTGAATTCTCACACTAAACTGAGTGGAGGGGGAAGTAGTCAAGTTATTTAGCTGAGTAAACATGGCAGTACCACAGAGTAAGACTACACCATTGAAAGCAAATTTATATAGTATTATCAGCAGTTCACCCCCAAATCAAAAACACATATTTTCCCTCTTACCTGTAGTGCTGTTTATGAGTCTAGATAATTTTGGTGTGAGTTGCTGAGTGTTGGAGATATCGGCCATAGAGATGTCCGCCCTCTCTCCAGTATAATGGAACTAGATGGCACACAAAATTCTTTCCAGAAATCATGACCCGGTTACTCAAGATAATCCACAGACTTTGTTGTGAGCACTTTCATGTAGAAACTATTTTCTTTCTACCAAACTACAACCCCCAACTGTATCAACACTCAGAAGGAAAGGTGCATCTACTCATGGACGAAAGGCACATGCTTGTGACAGTGCAAGATGTAAGCATTAACTGTAATGTTAGCTAGCTCATTGGTGCTAATTGAGCTAGCAGTAGATGCAAATCTGGTCACACTCCAAAGTCGCTGAAAATCCGGGCATTGACTTGCTTGGCGGCGTTGGGGGGAAACGCGGCAGGACACGAACAACAATTAAGGCGACAAAAGTCCAAATAAGGTGGGTGAGAGTTGTGGTGGATGGGTCCAACAAACACGGACTTTCACCCGAGAGAGTGGTTGTCAAGGTTTGAATGTGACGTTGTTTCTTGTTTTATTTTGAAAGTCTTCCCTTTGCTCTCTGCTAGATTGTCTTGTCCTTCGTGTGAGCTTTCTGGTGTTCTTCTGATTGACCTTTTTTTGTATTTAGACCAGTGAGGGTTTGTCTGTTGATTTGGATACCTCTGCCTGTGCTGACGGCCTTTTGTGTACTGACCCGGACTGGATTGCAAACCCTGAACCTTGGATTTCATCTCAGTCTGCATTTGTGAGTCCACCATTGTGTCCGTTAGTGGTGTTTGCGTCCCGCAAGATTATAAAGCCAAACCCTGTTTTTTCCTAAACCTTACCATGTGTGTTATTTGTTGGAGGCAAAAAAAACATCAATTTGCGATGTTGTACTGACGTAGTGCATTTATTTTGAAAGGGACTGTATGTAAAAAGTAAATTTCCCATGAAAACGGAAGTGTATTTTGAAAGAAGACAATGTATGTAACAGGCAGAACCTGACACAGCGTCCCAGAATGCAAAACACCAACGCACCAAGGGTACCTTTGATGTCGTATCTGGACATGGAAAGTCCATGACCAATTGTCGATATGTGTCGAGGTTGGAGTGAGAATGTGTTGTCCTACATGAAACTGCTCACATTGTCTATGGATTATCTTGAGTAACCAGGTCATGGTTTCTAGAAAGTGACATTTTTCAAATGTGATTTTTTTGGTGCTTTGAGCACCACAAGCCAAGTATCGTCTAGTTCCATCATATGTGAGAGAAGGTGAAATGTGATGATGTGCAAGGAGCACTTTTATGTTGTGTGGAGCTCTTGGTTACAACTTTAATGCAACATTAATAATACAGCTAGATCATGTCTCACTTCTGACTGATCTGTCCATCAGATAACATACAAAAACCCAAATTAAGGAGACAATGGAGTCAAACTGCTGCTGGGTTTTTGTGGTGCTCACACACACTACTGTGCTTATTCCACATGTGAAAGGCTCATTGCATGGTTGGAACATGATCTCACAACTGTCTTTCAAAAACAACCCAAGGCACACTGTAGGATTTGTGCAAAATTGAAATGCCTTTATTTTATGACAATATATATTAAAAAAAAGTCGGCGTTGCAACCAACTTTACAGGTCTTCATCAGGGTCATTGTCAGCAGATGTAAAACAAAGGAAGTGCGCATTGGATTGTTCTTAAAGGAGACTTACTCCATATACTCCAAGTGCCGAACATGGCATATTTGGCATCCTAGGTATTCTGCTTCCCTCCCTAATTGAAAGGAAGATCCTGATGTCAGAATTGTGTTTACATGTGTAGCTGAACCCAATTTTAAAAGCTGTACCTGTGTTTTATCAAAGCCTTCTAGTGGAAATTTAAAAAAAATATCACCATCTGGCATAAATGTTGAGGGGTACAGCCAGTCAGCAGTTTTCAGAAAACTCAAAGACTGTGCAGTGCAGATTTATATCAGAAAGACACTGAGACAAAGAAGAGCAACAACTCTTAATGGAATTACGAGTGTATTGAAAATATTGTGAATTTTTATTTCAGAATAGAATACAGTTGACGTTATCATTCAGACCGACAACCTCTTGATCCTCCACGTCATTGTTAGGAAAATGTTGATTTGGGCGCTCTGGGCTGCAGGAGTTGTTTTGCATGGCTTGTGGATTTTGTTGGGGTTTTGGCAAAGTGCTCTGACGACGCTCTCACGTCCCTCACGACAGCACCTTTGTTGGATCGGAACTACTTGGCACATGAGCGCCTGACCTGTATTTTGCAAATTAAATCTTGTGATTAAACATCTGCACCAGGCGTTATCTAAATAGTCGACTGTGAACCTCGAGCATCTGATTGCATTTACAGTACCTTGTTGTTGTCATGCTACCGTTTGCCTAAATTAAAATGTTATCAGAATAAAAACAACGCTTCGGCCTGTAAACACGGTCAGATCTGTTTTGAGCCTTTTTGTCTTCACTGACAGGACGTGAAGAAAACCAGGAATGGATGCAAGTCATAAGGCATTAGGTTGAATCCTGACTCTTGGGGAAAACAATTTGATATATTTAACCGCCAAATCTTCTTCAGGTTAGAACTTTTTTGGTCAACAAGGAAAAAAACTAAATAAATACATATAAATAACACAACATAAGCATTCCGCGCGTCTGAATAGAAGATGAGCGTAAACATCAATGCACCTGAAGCTTTGTGGGACGCCGAAGGGAAACCAGACCCCGTCTCAGAGATCACCACGGCAACAGTTCTGATGATCCAAAAGCGATGCAGCTCCACACTTAACGTTACAAAAATAGACACAGCTCTGCCATTGGAGTCACTGATAAAACACCTCACTACAACACCGACTACAGAACATCATCATGCACGGGTTGTTTTTGTAACACCAGAACTGTAACGTGACGTCGGCCAATGAGATCTCTGCTTGTTTCTGGACGAAAGGATTGTGGATAAGTGGGGTAGAGGACGCAAAGCCACTGATGCCACCATGTTAAAAAACTTCCACAATGAGTGAAGAAGCAAAATCGACTCAGGTGTGCTCTAAATATGTCGACAGTTGGCATGCTCTTGGCACTATGATCATTAAAACACAAAAAGAGTCAATTAAACGCTGCATGGTTCTGAGTTAAAATTACATTTATCTGTATTTATTGTTGATATTATACGGCAGTTTTTATTTGACGATAAATGCATCTCTTCTATAGTCTTTGAGAATACTTAATCCAATTACTACACCGACTTAAAGTTTGGTTTTCTGCATGAGACAACCAAAATAGACACCGCAACATGCTCTGTTTCCATACAGTTTTGGCGTACCAGCTCTCAGTACAGTTACAAGGAGAAGGTCTGGGTTCCCTCACTCTTCCATCATGTGCCACGTTTCATTAAAGCCAGCAACTTTTTAACAAAAACCCTCATCCTTTGTTTTCTCCAGATCTTAAAGCGCTCAAAAATTGAATTAACTGTGTATCCGAACGGTAAAAACTTGCTGTAAACTGCAATAAAGGCAACCGTCTCCAATCTGCATCGTACCTCATCACTTCCTCCATGTTTTTCAGTGCTTTGTTTCTTTTCTGTTTTGATTAATAATTGAGTAATACTTACATAAATAATGATCGGCTACATGACTGACCTTGCATGAATGATGCACACAAAAGTGGCAAAAAAACAGCAGAGAATGAAGTCGACTTTTTTAAAATGAATCTACTTCAAATCTAATTCATCTTTGCAAGACCTTGGCCCGACCGGACAGTAGAAACCAAGGCCAAGAGCTTAGCAAAGTGTGTTTGGTTTTTTTTTTTATCCGTCTCGAACAATTTGTTAAGTTACAGCTACAAAAACCACAAAAACAAGCAAAATGTGGTCAAGGCCCTCATGAATCCTCGGAGGATGAGAAATGTATAGCTGTCAAAGGACTGTGAAGCTTCTTCTGTTTCGGTTTGTTTAAGCCTTTGAAGCTGACCACAATTCGTCAACCTTAGCCACTCCGGTGGCTTCCGTCGCCTGTGCGCTGTAATCGGGCCAGGACCACCTCGTGGGACACTCTCTTGCGGTCCTTGGCCAGGCCCAGGAGGCACATGGCGTCGATGAAACACGTGGTAAGGTTCAACTTGCAGCCAAACTCGCTGGTTGCATAGTCAAAGGGGAACGTGTGGTGGTAGTTGTGGAATCCCTCACCTGTAAGGTAAAAGACAGAGTGGTGATAAATTCATACTGAAAGCAGGAAACAATTAATTGGACGTGATCATTTTTGTTTGGTTAGTTCACAGGATATCTTGCAAACTAATTAACAGACCTCATTTAAATGTAATGGAAAGATAAGCCATGGGCCAAAAATGATTAGTTCCTGGTGTGTAAACTTTGCCACATTTCATCAATGTTAATTCCATTGACGAAAACTATGACAGAAAATTCCATGATGAAAGCGTTGACGAGACGAGACGAGACGTGACGAAAATGTTCGTGGTGGACTATCGGACATTGAAAGCCAAGAATGGTTTGTAATTATCTTCAAATGCTGCATGAGTGACAGACTGGTCAACTGCGCCAGGATGTTTCGGTAGCCAGCAAAAACACTCACACCTGAGCAGAGTCAGCCGTTGGAGCAAGTTGTGAGCATTAATTCAGCAGTTAATCATCAGCCGTGTGTCTGAACGTGGATGGTGGAGCTGCTGAATGGATTTGTGGAGTTTGTTGGTTGCAGCAGTGGCTGATAGCAGCTCTGCCTGCAGCTAAATGGCTGCGGAGCTAGCAGCCACTTGCTGTTGGACCTCACATCCAGACTGGAGAAGGTTTATGGTTTAATGCTCAGTTATCTGTGAATGTAGCTGTGCTGTAAGGACTAAAACTATGGCTCATGACACAGAATCATGGCCCAAAGTTGGCCTAAGAGTTAAGTTCTTGTAAACCCCTGCAGAGACCTACAGTAGGTTTCAATTCAAACACAACAAACACAATTGGTCTTGATTCATTAATGTTGTTTTCCACAAACAGAACTGGGTTGTGAGGCAATTTTGTTGAAGTGGCCACATAGAGAGCTAGTGCACAGTCATACATGAGCGGGTCACTGTGGCAATATTCATGATGAATGTGGCCTTATGTGACAGACATGCAAAGCTACCTTGCTCGCTAACGTTGGGAAAAATAGAGATAGACTTCTGCGAGACAGGGCCCTGAGGGCACACTTCTCGCACGTGACGAGTTCATACCTATAGCGCTGAACGTGACGAACTTGTTCTCCCTGGGGTTGATGTTCTTGTCATAGGGCCTGTTTCCCCACATGTGAGCCGCGCTGTTGACCAACCAGGTGGCGTTCAGCACCAGGGTGTACCTCAGCAGAGCCGGGATGAAGTATGCCACCCACAGAGACTCCCCCCACAGGTACCAAGGCACGAACATGGGGACGAAGAAGCACATCAGCAGCACAGACGGCTTGTAATACCTGCAGAGGAGACGGAGTGGGTGGAGCTGTTTACTCAGTACGACATGAATATTGAACAATAGGCCTGTTCATTATCACTTTCCCTCTACATGACAGTTTTGAATGAGGCAAACCTTGAGTCACTCTCAATGTGCACAGAAGACATGTTAGTATTGTCACCTTGTTAAACCTGAATGACCACAATTTCTGAAATAAAATTATGAAACTTGATTCTACTTGTTAACAGTCTACACCCCCTGCCAAAGGAGTCACGTGCATATTTTTTTGATTAACTACTTGAAGTGAAGAGCAATCATTGACTGAAGCCACTCACTTCCTCTGAAACATTACGACTTTGTCAGCCGTCAGGTCGCTGAGTTCCAGCTTGCGCCCTTTCTCAATGACGTCAGGGTGTTTGCGCACCAGCAGCCAGCCAATGTGAGCGAAGAAGAAGCCCCGGACGGCGTTGTGAGGGTCAGCATCTGTCTCTGAATATTTGTGGTGAACCCTGTGGTCTCGAGCCCACTCAAAGATGTCATTCTGTGGGTTCGAGTAAAGACAGAGATTACACACACTGTAGGCACAATGTGGTACTTACACGGTAATGAAAACTGATATTATCACGACGGTAAGCGTGCGCTTGTGTGGCTGCAGGTCTGTGTGATCTGTCTGTTTGGGGTACCTGAAATGCCATGGAGTTAGCAACCCCGAGAAAGATCCTCAGAGGTAATGAGGCCTTGTAGGATCTGTGACTCCACAGGCGGTGAGCTCCTGCTGTGACTCCTAAAGCACTTATCAAAAAACAAAGAACGGCTGTGGAGAGAAACAAATAAAAAAGAATTAGTGCTGCTAATTATAATACGGCACCTTCAAAGGTCTGTGTATCAGACTTGTACTGTCAGTGTTGGGTGCTATTTCGCAAGGGAGTCATCTATAATACATTATTATATCTGTGTTAATGAAGGTGGGATCACCCTATTAACTGGTAAATAGACTTTTGAAACACATAAATTATTAATGTACTACAGCATTTGTTCACCACACTCTAGTCTACACTGCCTTTCCTTTTCATCAAAGGCAACAATCATCCAAATTTGCCTCTGACTGCACTGGTTTGTCCTGGCCTACTTGTTTCACAGAAGCTTAAACCACCATGAAGGAAGAAGGGCATGTTACATGGACCTGTGACTCTCTCTGGGTAATGTAATTACATCATATCGGATGATGACTGGACGGATAACACTACATCATGATTACATGTATGGTGAGACTGAAAGTCTATTTATAGATGCAGCCTCTGTGGTTTTGGTTCATGAGAACTACACATCACAATGGATTCTGACGAAATGTTATGAGTAATAAAGCAGCATACAGTTTGTTTGATTACTCTTGATTTGCCCTACCATACTGTTACTTGATAGGCTTGAACGTTATCTATTCCGTAATCACATTTTAGCAAGGTATACGGTATATAATGGTCTTTGCGTGAAAATAACAATAATGTGACGTTCTATGTTGGGCTTGACAGTTGGAGAAGTAATAACCTGTGCAGCATCTTTGTACTCAGTATGGGAAGTTATTGCATCGTACACTGTAGCCTGTGATTCAGTAGGTGCTGTCATTGTATAGTCTACGTACATCAAACGTGATGTGGTACCCAAGTTTATTCCTAAATTTATAGGATTATGAGACTGCTAAAATCTTGCAGCCCGTAAGGAGGCTAAATGTTGTCCCCAACACTCACAGCCACCATCTATCTCAGCTCAGCTGCCTGCCCTGCTGGTAAAGACTGACCTCTGGTGGTGATTGCTGTGCACTACGTTGACTCAATACAGCATCTCCTTACAAGTTTAATAGAAAGACGAGCATCTGTGTTTTTGGCAGTACTGAACATTATACCGTCAGGATGTCTAAAAATCCTGGTAAACAGTAATGCCTTGATACTGCCCAAGCCTATTATTTAATTTAAAAACATGACAGTTGGTCATTTTTTAGGAAGTACTGGTTATTTTTCTGACAAGCACACACCTGCCTGCGGGACAGATATGATGACAGGTGGCTCACTGACCATCCTCTAATTCAAAATAAATTGATACACAGGGAATATTATTTGTACTTTATATGTAAATAAGATGTCATTTTAAAAAGGCATCAAAATAAAGCTTGTTTAGCTAAAAAATAGTTGTCAACAGAGGTCTGGGCTAAGCCCTGAATGTCCTCGAATCCTAGGGAGATGTCCCCGTGTACACCTGACCTGTGTGGGCTGCTGCAGTGGATTTGCCTCTTGTCGAAGACTTGTGAGGGCAGTAAACAGGTTTTATTATATGTAGGGGAGAGTGGGGTCAGTTGGGGCGTTTTTGTTTTGAGGTGTAATAACCCGCTATCACTCAGAGACTACTTGAACAGTAATTAGAGTGAACAGATTTAAGGGTCAGCTAACAATTTATCACACAAAGGAGAAAGACACATTTTGTAAAATGTAGCCTACAAGGAGTGCATTTTCCCAAAATTCAGCCTCTACTGGACGGTTTGGACAGACAAACATGAAATTAAAGTGGACGACATGACAGCTTCCAAAAAGTGAAGCCAAAACATCTGGATGGCCCCCTGGTGGCTGGCTGCAGTATAGGTCATAAACCCTGCCCCTTCCATGTTTGTGGATGGGACATGGGCCAAACTAAAAAATCTCAAAGAACACAACAACTAAATTTTACCCAAAGACGGTTTCTGTCATTTTAGGTAATCCTTGTCACCCTGAAGTACGTTCAAGTGTTTGTTTTACTGGAGTTTAGTCTTAAGTAGTTATTTGATGCTATAAAAAGGGGATTTGACGACATGATAGACAGCCCTGTGGGCCAACTGGTGTGCTTCAGTGATGCTGCACGCAATTGGCTGGACAGGTGTGTGGGCGGCGACCGCAGACTCTGGCTCCAAATGACATCACGAATGCAAGATGGCAGCAGCTGTATCCGTGATATTTGGCTTCAGTTTTGTACAGTGGGACTAAGTGGACATGCATTGTCCATCTTTACATATTATGTTTTTGGGACATCTTATATTCTGGGCTAAAAATGTTTGCTTCTGTTCAACTGATCTCAAGTTCGCTTGTCCCGTAAGTGCGGTTCGCTTGGGAAAATGTTGCATTTATCTTGCAAGTACAATCTTCTTCAACATTTTCTTTATTTCCTGGATTTTTCTCACATAGAAATTCGGGCCAACCAAGAGCAGCTTTATCAGGTCCGCTTGTAACACAAACCAACTCTAGGCAACCATGCAACTTAGTCCCTGATTCAGACCAAAGTAAGCCAATTCTAGTTCTGAAAGCACCCTTATTTTTACAACGTCACACATTTCTTTAAGGAAACGGAAAATATTTGCAATTTTTTTTCAGAAATTACTGAGATATGGTATTTGGCTGTCTTCCAAGTCTTCATTTCAGTGGAAACTATCAGCTCAATGTGGTAACCACAGGCTACATGTAGGTATAGGTTTATGTAGGCCACTGATTTTGTGTCATTTTGCATTTAAAAAAAACTCAATAGCAACAAACTGAGAGTTAAATAAAGTTTGCACTTTAAAAACAGAACTGCAGGCCTGTATGAAGATCATGCCTGGGCAAAGCAAGCTGAGTATCCCTGCTGCACAATTTGTAGCTTTAAATAACACGCTGTGACATTAAATCTCCGGTGATATATGCCCTCCTCTATAATCCCACTACATGCAGGATACTGGGAGGAGCATGCACAGGCAGATTTTTGCATGCAGCAGCGATGACATAACAGCTGTGGTTTGGCTTGAATACTGTACGTACAAAAAAAAAGCCACAAACACTAGGCATGTGCAGAAAAAACAAGAACAGTAACAGGTTTTTGTACTTACACCAAAGCAAGGTCAGAGAATGTGCAGAGGGGATGAGGAACACGCTGTACAGGGCACCTATATGCAACAGAGACATCAGAAAGACATTTTTCCATACGATGATAGTGGGAGGTTTGGGGCCTTCCTTCTCTTTGTATGTGTGGTCAAACACGTCTTCTCTGGGGGCTTCTGCTGGGAGAACATGTCCGTTGCTGGAGTTGCGCTGCTTCTTCTCCAACGCCTCCGCCTCCGCCATCGTGGCTGCGGTCCGGTGATGCTCTGCTGAGCGGTATGAATGAGAGAAAACGGTAACGTCCCTGTTTTGGTGACGAGCTAACGACAAACAGGCTAAAACGGTGGATGTGTTAATTATTTTTGCTAGCTAACTATTTAAGCTAGCTGGTGAGGAAGAGGATGGTAATGTAACGATGATGCTGACTTCTAGCTGACACGCGACATTTGCTGCGTTGCGTAACACTCGTATTACACCTGTAGAGGAAACACGTAAAAAAATAACTCACCAAAAAGACGAGTGTAAAGAGAGTCCGGCTGTTAAAGGTGAAGCTGCTGTATTTCACCCCCAAACTACTGTAACCCAGAAAGACAGACGAGTCGTTGGCTCCGCAGCGCACGCATCAATATGAGCTGGAGCTCGAGGTGCGACTGGCCAATCAGCGCTCGGATGCCGCCTCAAGCTCGGGCTGTGATTGGCTGCTGGTTTATCTGCTGTTCACCTTTTATTCATTCTGCAGCCAGATGTATATTTACCACCTCTGGAGAGCCGCCGCAGCTGTCTAGACATGTAGTGAATTAGGCTGCGCGCGTAGTTGCGTTCACGCGTGGATTTCAACAAAAGCGACACGAGTGACGAGGCGTTAAAAAAAAATGAGCTCAGTGGACATCAGTATCCCAGCTGCGGAGTGCAGAGGACCCCCGCCCGTCCACACACAGGGGAGATACAAGGATGCTTGTTCTGTCACGTCATCCTTACTCCCACCCTACATAAGTTCTTATGAAATAAATAAGTAAATAAATAACTAAAATAAAGTAAAATAAAATAAAATCAGATTAATTTAAATTAAACAAAATAAACTAAAAAAAAAAGATACGTTTGACAGCAATGGGGCTCTATGGCACAGACAAAAAATGATAAACAAGCAAATACTTGTTAGTAGATACATTCAGAACTATTCTTATCATAATCATCTTACCTCATCTGTGACAGTGAGGAGAAGCCGGCCTTCTCCAGCTGAGCCTTCAGCTCTCCCAGCTCTCTCTCCACCGCCCTCTTCTGCTCCACCAGCTGTTTGACCTCCATCAGTCCCTGACCTTCAAACAACACATCCTGGGATGGAGGCTTTCCTGTGCCTCCAGAACCCTGTTTGGACAGACAGTCAGGATTGTTTCTGAATTATCAGTTACAAGCCTCTGANATACTATAGCATTATTTTTGTATTGTGTGTCTTGTGTGTTTGTTTATTCATGTATTTATTTATGAATAAATAAACACACAACTTTTGCAACTTTTTTATCCTCATGCCCCCCTAAAAACTATTTTAAAAGGGGAGAAACTCAAATAATAGAAAAATAATATAAACATTCAAGCAATATCAAAAATAAAAAAATAAAGATAATATGAAATAAAATTGAATAAAAAATAATAGCAAAATTAGACCCAGTAAAATACTATAACAGTATTTTTGTATTGTTTGTCTTGTGTGTTTATTTATTTATTTATTAGTACAACTTTTTCATCCTCAGCCCCCTAAAAAAAATCATTACAAAAGAATTTTTAAAAATCAAATAATAGAAAAATAATATAAACATTCAAGCAATATTAGACCTAGTAAAAATACTATAACATTATTTTTGTTTTGTTTGTCTTGTGTTTATTTATTTATTGATACAAGTTTTTCATCCTCATCCCCCCCTAAAAAATCACTATAAAAAAGAAAAAAAAATCAAATGATAAAAAATAATATAAACATTCAAGCAATATTAGACCTAGTAAAAATACTATAACATTATTTTTGTTTTGTTTGTCTTGTGTTTATTTATTTATTGATACAAGTTTTTCATCCTCATCCCCCCCTAAAAAATCACTATAAAAAAGAAAAAAAAATCAAATGATAAAAAATAATATAAACATTCAAGCAATATTAGACCCAGTAAAAATACCATAACAGTATTTTTGTGTGTCTTGTGTGTGATGTGCTTTTCTGTGTAGTTTTATATTGCATTGGCTGTCTCATGTTCCTCTTTGTATCACTTTATATTGTGTGCTTTGTATTGTATTGTTTGTCTGCTGCAATATTCTGTGCAATTATTCAACTATAGATTTGAAAAAAGTAATCTGAAAAATATGAAGAAATACTGTAATAAAAAATGTACAATATATATGAAAACAATTTTTTTTAAATGCAGTGCTTTTTTTAGACGTGTGCAGAAATGTGAAAAATATTGTCAAAGGAATGTGCAAAAATTCACAGTATTATGTGTACAAGGAATGTGTATTATGTACTGAGATAATAATATATTGATTTATCATTCATTATCTGAACTCCAGTCTGCATCTACAGCTTGGAGTAGTAAAGTACAAAAATATCAATTGTGCAGGAAAAAGGTGATGTTGAATGAGGTCACAGATATACGTCACAGGAACCAAATTATAAAACAAAAAAGGAATGACAAATCCACCAGTTGTTACCCTCATGACTTACAGGCAGACGTTTTGTCTCTATCTAGTGGAGAAATGAAGCAGCACAGGGAGCCCGCACATGTTCATGTTGTGCAAACAGGGTTTACGTGTAACTATATTTATGCTCTTTATTGAACAAGAAACTGACAAACAACGAGGCAGGTTGAACACAGTTTTAAATAAGGTAATGAATCAAGGTGCTTAGTGTAAATTTTTATATATTATCTTCAGTTAAAATAAAGGTTGGTATATTCATACTCTATTTATTTGTACAGTCTTACACCTCTTGCCAATTCCTTTGCAGAGTATAAGGGAGGAGTTAGGGAGGATACATACTTTCGGAAGCTACACTTAATTATAGAAATCTAGATGTAGTGGTTGGTTCACTAAAGTTACTTTGAAAAAGAGAAAAAGAAGACTGAATTGATAATGTACATACAAAATTAGGACAAAATACAGCCTAATACAAAAAGGTCACATGCAGCAAAAAATGCCACTCAGTTGAGTTTATTGCAAAACCAAAAATGAATTAATAAAACCCCACACTAATCATAGGAAAGTGCTAGTTTTGTATACAGTGTCCATTAGTCAGTCAGTCAGTTGCCTTCAGACACCAAAGACAGGTGGGAGGTTACATCAAGTTAGCCAGGTAAACTTCTAAAATAGTGTGCAACAACTAAACATTTGTAAATAAATAGTAATAATCAATACGTATGACAAATTGTGTCCAAAGGGTGTTCAATTACAATAGAGAAATAACTGCAAATAAATAAAATATATTATAAATTAAATGAAATTGAAGTAAATTAAATGAAAATAAAATAAAATAGAATAAATAAAATAAAATTGAAGTAAATTAAATGAAAATAAAATAGAATAAATAAAATAAAATTGAAGTAAATTAAATGAAAATAAAATAAAATAAAAAAAATAAAATAAAATAAAATGAAATATAATGAAATAAAATAGAATAAAATAAATTTGAAGTAAAATAAATTAAATTAAAATAAATTAAAATAAAATAAAATAGATATAATAAAATAGAATGAATAAAATCAAATAAAATAAATTTGAAGTAAATAAAAATAAAATAAAAAATAATTCCTGTCCCTTAATTGCCCAGAAGTGTTTGTAGTTTCAGTAGTTAACTCCACAAAAACCACTATGCAAATATGAATGTAGCTGAACTATAAGCAAGCTGCTGCAAAATGTAATTAAACTTCTAGGTTAGTAACATGTAGTTCATTAATCCCCAGCACAGATTTTAAACATATAACCAAAATTATTTCAGAGAATTACAACAGCCAAGGCAAAATTTGTTACAAAAAAGCTTAAAATGTGTGGGATTTTCATAAAGTTGTCTTTGTGTCGATAATAAAATCATGTAAACTGTGTTGATTAAAATCTTATCCAGTCCATACATGACACAACATATGTAAAATTCCTAATATAAGAGTGACAACAGGAAAAGTGGTTTCAATATCTGCAAAAAGGAAAGACATTACTCTCAAATCTAACTGCAAGGCATTGGCTGGAATAGTAAATAGGCTATTATTGATTAATTTGAAATTAATTTCTGTAGCTTTGGGTATTTTAAAATCATGTTAACATTCAGGTTAAATCTATGTAGTTAAAAAACACCCTACTATCAGTTAAATTGGTTTGGGTATGTTAAAAGTCATGGGCAGTATATCACCAGCATCCCCAGCTGCCAGAGGTTTGCAGCAGCAGCAGCAGCATCCTCAGCACGTCATCAGCAGGCGCCTGTATTTACTTCTGGTCCAGTTCGCCCGCTGCTGCCCGCTGCAATGGAGGTAAACAGGGACGAAGCGGAGCGCTGCATCGACATCGCGACTGCGGCGCTGACCAACGAGCAGCCCGAGAAGGCGCAGAGGTTCCTGGAGAAGGCGCAGAGACTCTTCCCGACAGAGAAAGCCAAGGGTGAGTTAAGATGGCCGAGCCCAAGTGAGGGGCGCTTCAGCTGGGGAGGATCGCAGCATCATCACCTGCAGCATCACCTGCATCCCGGATGAGCTCTGCGGCGCATGTAGCCGGGCCTGTGGTGGCTAACGAGCTAGCTGATGTAGTTAATGTGTCCATCATACCAGCTCCTGTTTGTCATGATGTCATGGATTAAACTGTAGAGCATAGCTATGAAATATAGCATGAAACAGATGTGTTAAATGTGGTGTATGTTATTATATAAGATGGCTGAGGCTAGAAAGTATGTCAACTAAAGGGCAGGAGTGGGAGAGTTTGTCACAGACCTCTGCATCCCAGAGAGCCAGCTTCTTATGTGTTAACATTACACTCACTGGCCACTTTATTAGGCACACCTTGCTAGTAGCAGGTTGGACCCCTTTTGCCTTCAAATCTGCTTTATTCTTGGTGTCATAGATTCAACAAGGTGCTGGAAACATTCCTCAGAGTTTTGGGTCCATATTGACATGATAGCATCACACACCACATCCCAAAGGTGCTCTATTGGACTGAGATCTGGTGACTGTGGAGGATGCTGGAGATGATTTGAGCTTTGTGACATGGTGTGTTATCCTGCAGGAAGTAGCCATCAGAAGATGGGTACACTGTGGTCATAAAGGGACACGGTCAGCAACAATACTCAGGTAGGCTGTGGTGTTTAAACCATGCTCAGTTGGTACTAAGAAAATCTCCCCCACACCATTACACCAGCAGCAGCAGCCTGAACTGTTGATACAAGGCAGGATGGATCCATGACGCCAAATTCTGACCCTACCATCTGAATGTTTCAGCAGAAATCCAGACTCATCAGACCAGGCAACGTTTTTCCAATCTTCTATTGTCCAGTTTTGGTGAGCCTGTGTGAACTGTAGCCTCAGTTTCCTGTTGTTAGCTGACGTTGCTGCCACGTGACTGGCTGATGAGCTATTTGTGTCAACGAGCAGTTGACCAGGTGTACCTAATAAAGTGGCCAGTGAGTGTATGTCCCTAGACCCACCCCAAGAGATACTAGACAGAACCGGCTCGCCAAAGGGTCCAATCCTGCCCACTATATGACTTTGCACACCTAATATTGATGCACTTGTGAAGGCTGAGAGGTTTCAGGAGCAACTTAAACAGTGAGTACATACTTGTGACCAAATAATTCATCCATCAAACACTTTCTTTGATTGAGGAGCCCGTGTCACAACCTCTGCTAATGTGTCTTAATATGTTGCCTACTACTGCAGGGAATTCATGTGTAATACCTGACTGGCTCATCTTAGTCGGATAAAAAGACAGATGTTCCTTTTCAGCCATTCCCATGTTGGATGCACGTCTGAATGTTTCATGTTCACCACGCTGATATTGTCTCTCCTCCAGTGCTGCTGGAGCTGATAGCAAAGAATGGATTCACACCTCGACAAGGCAGCGGCCACTCAGACTTCAGCGGGGGCTCTGGGCCTCGACAGCGGCAGACCAACAGCGAGGACACCAGACCAGAAGAAAAGCCATCAGACACCTCAAAATCCTACTCGGCAGATCAGCTGGAGGCTGTGAGGAGGTAAGGGAATAGTTTACTTTATTGGTTTACTGGAGATGTGGTTGACGCTGACACTGAGAATTGTGTGTTCTCTACGCAGGATAAAACAATGTAAAGACTTCTATGAGATCCTCGGGGTCCAGGCAGACGCCTCCGAGGATGAACTCAAAAGATCATACAGAAAACTTGCTTTGAAATTCCATCCAGACAAGAACCACGCTCCAGGTGCTACGGAGGCATTTAAAGGTGACAGAGAGCCCAATTAGAGGTCATAAGTACGGTGTCTATTAGCCCCTCTTTGTGATGATTTGACATCTTAATTTTCCTTTCCAACAGCTATTGGGAACGCGTACGCTGTTCTGAGTAACGCTAACAAGAGACGACAGTACGATCAATGTGAAGAGGAGAGGAGGCATCCCTCAAGACACGGCCCAGACAATGGAAACTTCGAGCCAGATATTTCACCTGAAGACCTCTTTAACATGTTCTTTGGAGGAGGTTACCCGTCAAGTTAGTGTCACTGCTTTGTGTTTTAATACCAAGCTTGTGATATACTTATACTGTATCTTCTGCCTATCCACCAGAGTATAATTTTGGCATTATACATTCCTGCAAACCACGCCACATTTGTATGTTTCATATACATCATATCATCATTTCTGAAGTGAAATACAACATGTACATGAGCTGAGTTTCTCATCACCAAGCCAAGACAGCTGTTAAGCAGCAGACAACAACAGACCACTGTATGAGACAGGGTTTTGTTAACATGTTGGACATTTCCAGCCGTGTTCATGGCAACAAAACCAGGTTTTTGTCAACAACTTGTCGAACATTTCCAGCCATCTTTGTGGTGAAAAAAAAAACAGGTATTTTTTAGGAACACGTCAGGACATTTCCAGCTGTGTTTGTGGCAACAAAACCAGGTTTTTGTTAACGACATGTCGGACTTTTCCAGCAATCTTTGTGGTGACAGAACTGGGTATTTTTTAATGACACGTTGGGACATTTCCAGCTGTGTTTGTGGCACCCAAACTGGTTATTTTTTAATGGCATGTCAGTATATTTCCAGCTGTGTCTGTGGTTACAAAACTAGTTATATTTTAATGGCCTATCGGAACATATCCAATCGCGTTTGTGGTGACAAAACTAAGTATTTTCCATCAACAGTTTGGGACAACTACAGCTGTGTTTGTGGTGATAAGACCAGTTATAGTTTGAGAATGCGTCGGGACATTTCCAGCTGTGTTGGTGGCAACAAAACCAGGTTTTTGTTAACGACACATCAAACACTTCCAGCCGTGTTTTTGGCGACAAAACCAGGCATTTTTTGTGAACACATTGGGACATTTCCAGCTGTGTTTGTTGCAACAAAACCATTTTTTTAACAACATGTTGGTATATTTCCAGCAGTGTTTGTGGTGACAAAACAGGTTATTTTTTAATGGCCTGTGGGAACATGTCCAACCGTGTTTGTGGCAACAAAACTGGTTATTTTTTTAAGATTATTTTTTGCCTTTAATGGATAGGACAGTGTGTGAAATGGGGAGACAGAGAGAGAGAGTGGGGACTGACATGCAGCAAAGGGTCGCAGGCCAGACTCGAACTTGCGCCTGCTGCAGTGAGGCAATGCCTCTGTACCTGGGGCGCCAGCACTATCCACCATGCTACTGAAGCCCCGTAACAACTGGTTATCTTTAACGGCATGTCAGGACATTTCCAGCTGTGTTTGTGGTGACAAAACTAAGTATTTTTTATCGACAGTTTGGGACATTTCCATCTGTGTTTATGGCAGCAAAATTTGGTATATTTTAACAACAGTTTGGGACAACTACAGCTGTGTTTGTGGCGACAAGACCAGGTATAGTTTGAGAACACGTCCGGACATTTCCAGCTGTGTTTGTGGCGAAAAAAACAGGTATAGTTTGAGAACGCGTCGGGACATTTCCAGCTGTGTTGGTGGCGACAAAACCAGGTTTTTGTTAACGACACATTGGACACTTCCAGCCGTGTTTGTGGCAACAACACCAGGCATTTTTTGAGAACACAGGAAATTTCCAGCTGTGTTCGTAGCAACAAAACCATTTTTTAACAACATGTTGGAATATTTCCAGCCATCTTTGTGGCAACAAAACTGGGTATTTTTTTTTAATGACCGGCGACAAATCAGGTTATATTTTAAAGGCGCTTCATAAAGTTTCCAACCACCGACCAAACCGGTAATTTTTTAATGGCACATTGGAACATTTCCAGCTGTGTTTATGGCGACAAAACCGGATTTTTGTTCACAACATGTCAGGACATATCCAGACATGTTTGTGGTGACAAAACAGGGTATTTTAACAACAGTTTGGGACATTTCCAGCTGTGTTTGTGGATTAAGCTTTTAAAAATTTAAGATTTTAACACATGATCTCTTTCTAGTGGTTTTGATGCCTTAATCTAATCACACGCTAACCAAAGCGTCGTCACAACATAAATTGAAACCTAAAGAAATGTAAATATTCAGCATACCTGCTACATATGAAACATAAAAATGTAGTATATTCATGGTTTGCAGAAATGTACAGTTCCCACATTTATTTTGGCGACTGGGTTGATTCATTGTAATACTTGTTATGATCTGTCTGTTAAGTGCTCCATGTGCTCCATTGATCCAGGTAATGCTAATGTGTACACCAATGGGCGGATGCGTTACCCAAGGCGAGAGAGAAGAGAGCGACAACGGGATGTGAGTTTGATGTTATTATTAGAGCTCCTGCAGATGTGAAGAGATATTGTTGAACAGCAGGGGGAGACAATGAGTTGTGTGTGATTTTATCTTTGGCAGATGTGTTTGACTCAGCTGTGAGGTTTTGACACTGCATTGTTCTCTCTGCAGGGAGGCCTCGCTCTGTTCGTACAGGTCATGCCCATCCTCATCCTGGTCATTGTGTCGGCCCTGAGTCAGATCATGGTCAACAGCCCCCCTTACAGCCTCAGCTTCAGGCCGTGAGTGTGATCCCCTGATCTGTATGCCTGCCTAAGAAGGATGTTAAATAACAGGGCTAATTGTTGTTCAGCAAAATTTCAGTAGACTCAGACAAAAGATTATCGACACAATCCCAGCACAAGTCTGTTTCATAATTGTTGTATTTTCTTATTTTTGTACAAGCCAGAGAGCGAAGAACAGTGTTTGAAGTGCCACTGCCCCAAAGTAGATTTACTTTCATAGTATTACATCCTAAGACAGATCCATTGTTTTGACTTTTCAGTTTCTTGTTTGATTCCGACAGCATCTTGATGCTGCCTCCCAAATCCCAAGTAATCTCAGACCTCTTCTGTGTTGCTGGCTCCATTCATCTGGCCTCCCTCCACGCTGCCTGCCTTTGTGTTTCAGATGCACTTATCAGCCATGAGTCATGTTGACAGAGACAGGCGGTGCCAGATCTGTCATCTTCGTGCTGCGGTCGGTCACATGATATCTCTCCCACGCTTTGTCCTATCTCCACGCAGGTCAGCAGGTTACACGCAGAAGAGGCTGACGGAGAACCTGAAGGTGCCATATTATGTGGGGGAGCACTTCTCCAGGGAGTTCACTGGCCTGAATCTGAAGAATCTGGAGCGGACGGTGGAGGATGATTATATTTCCAACCTCCGCAACAATTGCTGGAAGGAGAAGCAACAGAGTATGTTTGCCAAGAAAAACAAATTACGCTTATTTATTTATTTAACCATGAATATTGACTGCTCTTTCTGCCGTTATCAGCTCCGGGGAAAAGATTAAAGACGCATTTTGATTTATATCACCCCTCATATATCTTTCATGAATTGTTTCTTGTGTTTCCTGCAGAGGAAGGCATGCTTTACAGAGCTCGCTATTTTGGAGACACTGATCTGTACCAAAGAGCGCAGAGGGCTCGCACACCAAGCTGCGCCAAGCTGTCTGAGATCTCAGCTTCATTCCATGGTTGATGCTGCTTTCATAATTAAAAGCAAGTCCTCTGCATTTTTCTCATTTATAAACACATTTTGTAGCGACTTCTAGGCTTGGGTGGTATCATGTTTTTTTGATATACCGAATTTAAAAATCCTGAAGGTAAAAATACAGACGCTCATCTTTCAACAGCTCTTTTTACACAAAGGTTAAAATGACACACCTATCCCACCCATGGTCCCGTCCTGCCGGCTGTCCCAGTGCTGTTACCACCTCCGTTGCCTGCTTAAACTGGATTTATACTTGTGTGTCAGCTCTATGCAGAGCCTACACCGTACCCTACGCACGTGGCCTACGCTGTTGTGAGCATTTATACTTGTGCAGTGGTGTTTCTGTGTCATTCTGCAGTTACACCTCCAAAACATGGTGGAGGTTTCTGTGGAGTGCTGTAAAGTTTAGTTGATTCAAAACACACATTAAACACACATTAAACATGGCTTAATAGAGACAATTTCAAACACAAGTACACAAATCAGCTTCACTATAACTCGCAGCATTCACAGACAAACACTTGTCTTTAACTAGACACGTTTTCCCCACAAATACAACATGCTAACGTTATTAGCACAAGCCTATGGCATTTTACATTTTATAAATTAGCCTAGTGGCTAGCAGACTTTTCCTCTACTTATATGAAGCCAGGAACAACAGCAACATTTAACAAAGGTAACGTTACAAGCAGCAACGCAGACCTCCTGTTTAATTTTTGTAAGCAGAAACCATTTCCCTCATTGGAACCAAAGTTTTTATTTACTTTAATTTCACAAATAAGTTAAGTCTTCCCAGATAGCACACATACATCTGGCCGACGTCGGCCCGATGTATCAAGTTTAGATCGTTAAGACGTAGCAGGGAGAGCGTTTGCTCATTGCCAAGACGTCGCTGAGACGTTGGCCTTTAATCGAAAATGACCACCACGCGACGTTCAAACGATCAATAAAATAAGCTGCGCTCAGTAGGCGTTCCTTCATTAATATTCATATGCTTTGTTAACTACGACCTTTATTCATTTAGGTCGGACCTTTCAAACTACAAATATTTCACCATCCAATGTGAGAAATCAGTGCTAACATTCAAAAATAGCTGACTGTTACCCTATTTCATGTGTAAGTGTGCACAATGAAGAGACGAAAGTCAATTTGACAAACTTTATTTTCAAATTTCCACAAACAATATCTGACGGCCAGTCCACTTCTCCTGGCAGCCTGCAAGACACAGAAAAGACGATGAGCACATAACTTCAAGAAACAAATCCCAACTTCACCACTGTATTTTTTTTAGCATTTCAGCTGTCTTTTAGCCAGATTGAAGGCTTTGGGTCCGTCACTCTGCTTAATTTAGTGTTGAAACGGTTAAATAACGGGATCCGTTAACTCCGTTAACTGTTAACAGCAGCTCAACAATCAGTCCTTCATCTCGGAAAAACTGTGGTTTCAAAAATGCTCTATTACCTGTAGCCACCGGGTCAGTTTGCTTTGCAGAGGAGGAGACCTCGACTGATAAATTGCCCATAAAATCACATTAACAACATACTGAAGGCATCCTTAAACTTCACTATTTCACCTCCGCGCTCCTCTCTGCTGGTCTCACCGACACTTCAGCACCCGTTCTGGGATACACAGTGTCGGCCCGCCCCGCCTGACCTCTGTGCTCCTCTCCGCTCCTCTCCCAGACACTTGAGCACACGTCCAGGGCCCCGGAGTGCTAATTATGTGTGCTAATTAGCCTAATTTATACAATGTAAAATGCCATAGGCTTGTGCTAATAACGTTAGCATGTTGTATTTGTTTGGAAAACGTGTTCAGTATAAGACAGTTGTTTTGTCAGTGAACCTTGTGAGTTGTAATGGAGCCGAATTATGTGCCGTTACCTTTGTTAAATGTTGCTGTTGTCTCTGGTTTTATATGAGCAGAGGAAAAGTCCACTAGCTGCTAGGCTAATTTATACAATGTAAAATGCCATAGGCTTGTGCTAATAACATTAGCATGTTGTATTTGTGGGGAAAATGTGTCCAGATAAAGACAAGTGTTTGTCTGTGAATGCTGCGAGTTATAGTGAAGCTGATTTGTGTACTTGTGTTTGAAAATGTCTCTATTAAGCCATGTTTAATGTGTGTTTAATGTGTTTTTTGAATCAACTAAACTTTACAGCACTTCACAGAAACCCTGCCGCCAACTAGTGTTTTGGAGGTGTAACTGCAGAGTGACACAAACACCACCGCACAAGTATAAATGCTCACAATGGTGTAGGCTCTGCATAGAGCTGAGGCATAAGTATAAATCCTGCTTAATACGATTACATTTCTTGACATTAACTAGACTGAAAAAAGAGAGCTTGCAAAATGAAGCAGCTTATCAGTCCGGGGGTTAGTGTGTGTAGCTAGCGCCACACACAAATACCGACATACCCCAGTGAAATTTCAGGAAGGTGTTAAAAAATAGATATCGCCCAAGCCTAGTGACTACCTGCATGTTCTGTTTCATTTTACAGCATGATTTTTTTCCCTTCTTGTCTCCAGGTTTCCAGAATCAACACAAAAGATTATCGGCTGTAAATAGATGAGCTTTAACAATCTGGAGACGGAAGATGATTCAACAAGCAACACAAACAAACCAGCACCAACCTGCATCAAAGTGATCACACAAACTGGTTTAAGCCATTTCTGCGGACTTTTAGTATGTTGAATTAAAATATAATATGAATATAATGTTTTGACATGGAAAAAAAGAAAAACACTTAAAAAAGCCAAGCCCCAGTTATGACTGGGAGCTATGAAGCTGGCAGAGGTCACTTCACGGTTTCTGTGAGAATGCAGTATGAAACCAGACTGTAGCAAGGTTAGATATAGTCATACGGATGTTATTTATGTAGCAGTTTATTAGGTACCACAGAGAACGCTTCCTCTTTTATTTCACACGGTCAAATCAGCGGAGTGGACGAGTTCGGTTTGACTTCAAATGCACATTCTGAAACTATGCAGGAATAATGTGAAACCTCTGATGAATTTATAGTCATAACGTCCAGGGTTTGTCAGACACTTGAACACCTGAGATTTGTCTTCTTCTGCTGTGTGTGTGAGAGATAACAATTAGGAAATGTCCTTTTACACTTTGCCTCTTTTAAATGTAGTAGGGATAGAGTTATGTATATTAACATTATGGCACTTCACAATAAAAGCCAAGGGAATGAGAGATGTGCCTACCCACAAAGTGGGACTTTAACAGGTTCTAGTTTTTGAGTACAATGCCTCTGATGAACATCTGTTGGAAGAAGCTATTTTTGTCACGCCTTTTGAGTTTATAGTATGCTATTTATGTTTTAATTTATTTAAAAAAAAGGATTATCAGGCTAAGACAACAACACAGTTCTCGCTCACCTTTTCCACCATGTTTTTACTCCCGGATGAAAAATAAAATATGGATGCTTCAATCGTGTTGGACGTGACTCATTGCTCCGAGCAGAACAAGCACAGAACATCAGAGTCAAAAGCTCAGTCAGCACATTCAGCTGAGAGGCTGGCTCGCTGAGAGTGGGAACTGGAAACATGGCTTTGCACACGATCACATTTTAGAGGACGTGCAGCACGTGCCGGCAAGAAGTACAGCGTCACATTCTTTCACCGCAAATGTTCTCAGCTGTTGTTGGCGGATGCTGTGCTGCAAAGAGTTGTGACTCGTCGCAAAACTTTTCCGAGGATGTGGTTGATCATGGCTGGCTCACTTTTAAGTGAACATTGTTACTCTCTATGACACTTATCTTAGTGTTCTGAGATAGTTTGTCAAAGGATGCAGCTTCATATAGATGTTGTACATTTAGCAGAATCAAGCACTTGCATTTTTGCTTCGTGCAGAAACTTTCCTAAAGTTTCATAGGTGTAGATTTCTCATGATTTAGAACAAAATAGACAATGTATACACCATAAGTTGATGCACAAAAGGCACAAGTTGGTGCATACAATTCACCAGAAGGCAGGAGATAAGTGTTTGACTGTCAAAGCACCCCCACAAAATGTTAAAATGAAACCTACACCCCTGCAAATTTCCATAGGACACCTGAATCTGCATGCAACGCTGCAAATGCATGACCCAAAGCTGAAATAAAATGGCAGAGAGAGAGAGCTGTTAAAAAAAATAATTTATTTGCAGTCATGAAAGTACAAAAAACAGTGCAATGTTATGAGTATTTGAATGTCAAATAAATAAGGTGAAAGCAGGACAGGTCTACACAGATACAAGATCAAATTACACTTGAAATCTTAGCTGCAGCTTGCACATAAACTGCACAATGCAAGCAGTGGTAAGCCTTTGCTCATGGATTCAAGCAGTCACTAAGGTCCCTAATGGTTTGCATGGTGTACAGTTCGTCACTTGGTGTACATTACAACTTAATGCCATGTATAAAAAAAAAAGAAAAAGAAAACACAATGGTCTTTAATCATATAGCTAGCTGCCGTTGTGTTTCAATAGAAACTGAGGTACGCACTTCCGCAAAATGCCGGTTTATCACATATATCATGATGTACAATGTAATTGGAAAAGCAACACTTGCTCCAGATACCATGGACTCCCTTACAATGGGAACAATGGGCTGCATCGTGACAAAGTCCATCCGTACACTTCTGAAGGCATCATATACATGTACTAATAGTCATAAGGCCCTTCTGTGAGCTTTACTGGGCGTTTTAAAAACGCAGAAAAACATCAGGTCCTTTACATTTCTTAACATTCCTCAATGAGCAGTTCCTCGGAACAATACAGTTTCTTCTTAATCACACGGAAACCGGTGCTAAGTTTAATAGCTTGTCTCACGACTGGAGTGGAAGGGGACTTTGTACTAAATAGTCCTTGGATCTTTGGCCACAGCCCGCCAGACTCCAGCCTCAACACCAGAGTCAGCTGGAAGGTGGGGACAAGGTAGGGGTCCACGGACAGCTGTGCCATACTCTCGCAGGAGGCCCCTTGCTCCACACAGAGGTCGATGAGAGCCCCTCGTAAGCCGCAGGGCTCACTAGCAGCCAGGTGAAGGAGCTCCTGTCCGATGTGCTCCAGAAGTTTCTCGGGGATGAGCAGTTTGGTACACCGCAAGGCGCAGTCTGAGTCTTTGGCCTCTCTCAGGCTTCCTGCAATAAGGTCCACGACTTCTTTCAGGATTGTCTCCTCCATTGGATCATAAAACAGGTCCTCATTGCAGGGGGGCAGGTCACCGGAGACATCTGACCCTGTTGAGAAGACACAATGAGTTGGAACCATGAAGAAGAGGAGAAGCTAGTTTGAGTCTGATTCATTAATGATTGCAAAGTTGTTTACCTGAGTCTGAGAGGTCACTCCGGCTGCCATTGTTGGACCCTGACTCCATGCTGCTGCTGGCTGATGTGCTGAAATCAGCCCATCTTTGCACCAGTTTGCCCCAGGACAGCCTCCTGGGACTGCTGTCCACTGGGGACGGGGGTGGGCTGCCCATATCAGTGGGTGAAGATAGAGCAGGCATAGTTATCCTCTTTGCAGTATTCAACAGCTCCTGTGGTTGGTCAGCTGTTTGTGAGGAGACAAAAACAACAGATAAGCACTCAAACTCGACATGAATGACACTAATTCAACATTAAACATAATTAATACTAAAACACAAGTGTCGTTTAAAGTGTAGTTTGTAAGGGAATATATGAACACAACAAGTACAGCAACAATAGTTGCTAGCTGCTGTTAAACTGCTCAAATTAGCATGTAAGATAGCAAAAATCAGCAATAATGACGTAATACTTACAGCTTAATCGATAGCGTTGACGTTCAAGTCCGTTGTCGATGCTCCAGATATTTATTCGACTGGTTATTATCTGCAAAAACAACCATCTGGCAACTTCTATCCTCAGAGCTCCTTCTGTCACACACCAGCTGCCGAGCTCTGCGGGTTCGTCCTGCAACAATGTTTATATACTCCCACACTAGGCCACGCCCACACGCACCCAGCCAGCCAATCAAAAAGGGAGGCACGCCATCGGAGCTGTATCTTGCCTGGTAACATGCCAGCAGAGGAGAAAGACAAACAGGAGGAGGAGAAGGGGGGCTGGGGGTGATGAATAGCAGACCCCAGTGTTATGGAAATGTACAGGGGGCTTGCCTGGACTTGTCATATTGTATGTCTTTGTTTCTTATTATTCAAACGCATTAATAAATGGCTGTGCTGTTTGTGCATGGAGCGCACTGGCTGCATTGATTAAAGCCCCTGTGCAGGCTCGGCTTAGCTGGCTCAGTGTTGCAGTGTACATTACGTCACCTATTTTTGCTCAAGCATTACATCAGAATTTTTCATCTGCCTCACAGAGGTGCAAACAACACAGTGGGCTGCATGAGAGGACACAGTGTACGCGATCAAAAGATAATAAATAGGTGTTATGATCGTGGAGACGTGCATCTTTCTACATTTGGGGCAATAAAAACATTTAGAGGAAAGGAAATGCACCAGCACAAACAATGCTATTTAATTATTTGATTTGATTTTTATTTGTCTCAAACAAGCACAAGCATAAAAACAGGCAGTATATGTAATAGAAAAAAAAAAATGGCACACTGTGATAACGTGCAAGTTCGAGAAGGGGCTGAAGGAAGCAAAGCTTATCATGTTCAGCCCCCCCCTTACACTGTCATATAAGCACATACATAATCAATAAATCTGTAAAATCTTAAAAATTTAAAACATTTAGTCTTTAATATGAAATAGAGCCCTGCTTATAAACACACAAGGCTAAATAAAATCCTTTCTAAAAAAAAAAAGTATAAAGTACAAAATAAGCAGTCCAGTTGACTAAGAGTGATTGTTTGTAGTTGTGTTTAAATTGTTTTAAGTTAATGCACATTTTTGTGTCCTCTTCTAGTTTATTCCACAGTTTTACACCACAGACAGAGATGCACATACTTTTCAGAGCTGAAAGGATGGTAGGATGTTTAAAATTGTGATTCCCTCTTAAATTGTATTTTCCCTCTCTGACCATGAACATCATTTGAATGTTGCTTGGTAACAATTTATTACAGGCTTTAAACAGAATTTGAACAGTTTTGAATTTAACTAGGTCCCTGAATTTTAAAATACCCGATTTTAAAAACAAAGGATTAGTATGATCAAGGTACCCAGCGTGATGAACCATCCTTATGACTCTTTTTTGTAAAGTGCAAATCTTTTGTAAAGTGCTTTTGTATGCATTTCCCCATACCTCAACACAGTAGGACAGATATGGATCA